TCGTAAATGCATAACCAAAAATATTATTGGTTTGAGAAGCTCTTTAAAACAACTTGGCACATTGTATATAAAGTCTTTTTAAGAATGGGATTGAAGTTTCTGTCACTTAAAACAAAAAACAAAAAAAACCCAAAAAAACAGCCTTTCTTTCTGTTCCAGAGTAAACTACCATAAATAAATACAAATTCTGGTGAATAAATTGATCTTGGATACTTGTCAGCTTTGGTAAACTGCACCTGTAAGGCTGAAGAGGTAACTTGTATGTCATTGCTCTGCAGGAGCAGGGGTTGGCTGCTGATGCTGTTTTGAATGCTGAAATACACCCTCTAACAATGCACTAGCTACAACCTTGATTTATCTATTTATTCTTGAGCTAGGTACTGTATTCTCTGCATTGTGGAGCACACAACATAAAATTGTCATGTATTTAATATGCTGATTCATTTCATTTCTCTTGGGAGAGGCATTTTTATAACTTGAGATGCACAGAGCAAAAAATCTTGTTTAGGTAATTAGAGTTTGACACAAAATCTTGAAGCTTTTCCTTGAAATATACAAGAATACTGAGAACTGTGGTGCTCTTCCTCTTGGCCCAGGTTTTGGCGCAGTGTTCCGCAGGATTATGACTATTAAAATACTGCCAGCAAAAGAGCGAAGGGCAATTTTAGGATAATTTGTTAGGAAAATGAAAGGGAAGGCCAGACTGAGAATTTTTGGACTTACTATTTGACTGAGCTGATAAATAGAAATAAAATAAAAACATAATGTGTTTTCTAGCTGTCTAGGTAGCTTGCATCTAGTTAGTGGCAGGGGACCCATTTTGTAGGTATGTTTATGATAGGGTCATTTTCCTTGGTGTACGGGGAATTTTTTAGTGTAAGATCTAGCTTTAGAACAGGAAAGAAACTAACAAATGAGTTCTGTGGGAGGAATGTGTTTTTTAATAACCTTATATCTAGAGCATCTGGTTGGAAAATATTTAGGGTATGATGTTCCAAAAATGATAGCAGCTACAACATAGCTATTGCTCTAAAATACCTACATTCCTCTAACTAAGCAAGTCTGCACTAATTATAAAATTAAAACTTGATTGTGCTAATATAAGAATGTCCTTTTTGGAGTGGTTATAAGATAAGCCAGTTGTTTCAGTTATTGTAATTCTGAATGCTGGACAGTGAAGAATTAGTATATATGTTTGTTGGGCAGCAATCTGTACAATGCATGGCATAGCTATGCCATTTGGAACTGTCTTTCATTTCTATAGGCATAGAGGGGAGTGTTAAATTTGTAGTGTAACTGCTGATGAACTTGTTTTGCCAGATATTTAACATGATGGTATTTAAACCTCCTAGGAGGAGAATAGCTGCTGAACTGAAAACAGCATCCTCATACTCAAATCAAACTATCACTTCTTGTGTGCTTTCAGCTAGGAATAAATAACTTAAGTCTATAGCCAGCTATGTACGTTTGCATGCAAATATTTGTAATTTCAGTGTTTTTATGATGTATAAGAGAAAACATTAACAAATTAATTTTTCGGGACTGACAGATTTTCCTCTTCAAAAATTCGGGTGCTTGAGAATTATCTTTAAGCAGCAGCTCATATAAAAATACGCGTGTCTTGATCTTGTTGGGGAATTTTTATGGAATCGGAGAGACTGCTTGTATTGTATGGCTATTTTTACTTGTATTTTGCTTTGATGTATTTGTGAAGGAAATTCATTGATATATATACGTGCATAATAAAAGTCAGCTGACAGGTACCATAATATTGGGCCCTTCATTGAAATTCAGCATCCTTTTGGACTCAAACCGCAGTAACAAGTAGGCTGGGGAAGTTCAAAGAGGAGCCTTTCATCTTCGTAGCTGCACAAGGAGCAGTTGCAGGGCACTTGCTCTTTATAATGAGGTTGTCCATTCTCAAGATCTGTGAGTGTTTGTAGCAGGTTGCTGTATGTGCACAAGGCTAATGATGATCCCAGAAGGATTAGTGGTAAAGCAAGTGCTATTCTGTTTACCATGCATTGTAAACACATCTGGAATTATTTTTTTTTTTTGGATGCAAGTTTGTCAGTCAGACTTCTGCCTTCTGTAGGGTGACAGCACAAGGTGAAAATCAATTATTTGCAGTGGTTTTATGCTTTAATGTGATATCTTTTAAATGCGGATGGTGTCTATTCTTGTTTGAAATGGGATTCATGTTACTGATGAGTGTACTTTGGTCTATAGCAAAAAAAAAAAAAGGCTAAGCTAAGGGATGTGCATTGTATTATATATTCGACCATAATGTTTCTGCTGTTTATCTGTATGAACTTCAAGTCAGGCAATGAAAGAGAGGGAAAAACTGGACATGAAGATTCAGAGGGATGTTTGATGTCACAATCTTAGCTTCAGCTTCGTATTCCCTGCACCTCAACTGGGATCTTTGGATGATGTCATTGATGGACTTCATAGGACATGCAAAGCACTAGCTGAGAATTGCTGTTGTCCATCAGGCTTCTAGTATGAAGATTTCAAAGCAACTTTGAAAAGGGATGCCTGGCAAAGTACATCTGCATCAATGCTTTATAACCCTGGGCTGCCATCACGTAGGGAATCTACCCTAAGTCATAATGCAGTTTGGTTGAGGTGACATTCTCTTTCACCTCAAATTGATGGGGAAAAACTTCTCTGGAACTTTCTACAAGACCCCAGGAACTGGAGGGATAAGTATCCTGCATGTTTAGCAAGGAAATAAAAGGACTTTGGAAATGATTTTATTCTGTAGACTCAGTAATTTGACAAAATCATGAGGTAAGTGGGTACACTGGTATTCCCACCAACTTATATCAGCAAAGTCTAATGTTAGATATTCTTTGTGGGAAATAATGCACGTTTGAATAAGATTTTTAAGTCTCCTGGACAGACTGTTGAAAAACAACTCTTTAAATGTATTAGCTATTTAGTTTTGTTTTGCCTCCATTGATAAGAAGCTCTGAACTCTTGTAGTTCTGTTCTTTTACAACTCAGTGTTTTTGTATGGTTTTTTTTTTTTTTTTTTTTTTTTTCATATAAGTTGGTGGCTGGCTGATTTCAATGGCCACTGCTGTGAGATGAGATTTCTCAGCTAAAAGTATTGCTGGTTGTTTGTGACATGTGTTGATCTGATTAGCCTATCATGTTTGCATGGGTGAGAGAGTTCAAGCTGTCTGGATGCCCTTTGCTTTTGGATTGCTGGAACTGGGTGAGGTGGGGACAGCTGTATGCAAAGTAGGAAGAGCATTACGACTGGGGGAGCACAGAAACAGTTAAAAAGTAGAGCAGTTTTTCTGTAACGTTTTTAACTCATTTGTAGTACTGCACTCGCAGTCTTAGAATATCCTGGGCTGGAAGGGGCACATAAGGATCCCCAAAGCCAGCTCTAGGCTCCATGTAGGACGACTCGAAAATCAGAGCATGTATCTGTCTGAGAGCGTTGTCCAAACACCCCTTCAGCTCCGGCAGCTCGGGGCCGTGCCCACTGCCCTGTGCATCCCGTTCCATGCCCACCGCCCCCTGGTGCAGACCCTGTCCCTGACCCCCACCCACCCCTCCCCTGGCACAGCTCCATGCCGTTCCCTCAGGCCCTGTCGCTGTCATACAGAGCAGAGCTCAGCGCTGCCCTCCGCTCCCTGTGAGGAGCTGCAGCCGCCATCAGGCCTCCCTCAGCTCCTCTGCTCTGTGCTGAACAAACTCAGGGTCTTCAGCTGATGCTTATACGTCTTCCCCTCCAGACCCTTCACCATCTTTGCAGCCCTCTTTACTTTTCCTAATACATAGAAGTCCTTCCTTCCTGACTGGTCAGCTGTCCTGCTGCCAGTACTGTGTGAGCAGGTGAGAGAGGTCTGATGTGGGCTCCAAGGTGGTTCTGCTGTGGGAAGCAAGTGCCTGAACTTGGCCCGCTGCAGGGATCAGTTGTTCAGTGGTGCCGGATTGTCCAGGCTTGCAGCTTTTTGCAGGACTACATCTATTATCAGTGAAACAGTTAATAAAAGAAGAGTTTGTTCCCTAAGCCAGGGCCTTAATTTCAAGCTGACTTCTTTCTGTTAGGACTCTTCAGTTCTGTTATTACTGTGCTCTATGTAATCTTTACCTTCTGTGACAATGCAAATTGCATGGGCCTGGTGAAGAGCAAAAACAAGCTCAAGTTGTTACGAGACTATTGGTAAACTTGCTCTATTTCCTTAAAAAAAAAAAAAAAGTGTGAAGCCTGTATC